TTCTCACTAAAGCCCAGTTAATGTTGATCTCAAAGAAGGAGGTGGTTTGAGCTCTTGGACCATCCTGTGTAGCCCGGATAAGCCATCCATGCTTTTATTGCACACATGGAGGGAAGGTCATGAGTACCGCCTTCTGTTAGGTTCCTGTGTTAGCTTTTGAAAAGATACCTTACTGTAATGGGTTACATTCTTCAGGATTCAGAATCCTTTCAAGAGCCTCCAGTAGCTGAAAAAAGTGAGTGAAAAAAGCATGCACAGAAGGCAGGAAAATATAGAAATTTTAAACCATCTAGCTCAGAATTGTCCACACTTACTAGAAGCAGTTCCCTAGAGCCTTAGACAGGCCTCACATTTAATCTCCCCACACACATGTGCAACATCTGCAGGGCACACAGCTTGAGAAGCACCTGTATAACTCCACCCCATGCACATCTAAGTAAATGTGCATTGCACTGAACAGTGGGAATCCTTTCTGAGCAGTTTTGTTAGGCTTCTCACAGTAGGAGCCATTGCTTTGAATTTCTGTAGGCCTTTCTCCCCAGCAGTGGTGGAGTCTTCTTCCTGCCTGTCCTGCGTTTAACAGAACAGGTCTCGGGCATTTCTGTCCACCACGAGTGCTGTTTTTGCTGGAGGCAAGGAATTCTGGGCTCTTGGGCTTAAGAAGTCTTCACAATGGGAACCATTCTGAGTCTGGAAAAAATTGATCTGGATTGTGAAGGGATGGATTCATGCTGAAGAGGGTCCACAATGCAACAATTTAGAGTAGGAAATGAATAGGATATTTCTTACTTTTATTCCATTACTTTATTTGTCTTGGGAAAGAGGAGAAAGGATCAGAATGTTAAGACATGACAAATGCTCCAGTGTTAACCATTTCTGATTAGCAGAAGCAAGAGACAAGTAGTCAGAGCTGTATCCACATACACATGCATGCATGCACGCGCGCGCAGAGAGAGAGAGAGGAGAGGGAAGGGGAAAGTGGGGGAGAAAGAATCCCAGGGTAATTTGAGATAATGGAGGATGATTTAATTTGGTTTGAATTTTGATGAGAACTCACAAAATCCACATGTGCCTGATCAATATGCAAATTGAAACACTGTTGTCCCAAGTCTTCATGCTTCTTACACATATACACACATCTATTAGTGAAAAAAATACAGAATTATTGTGTGAGATATGTATTAGGCAAAACTGTATACAGAATGCTTATATTACAACTACACACAAAATGTACAAAGAACCAAAATTGAGAGGCTTGTCTGTCCCTAGGTTCCACTGCATATTAGTCTGCTCATTGTGTTGTTTCTTTAAAACACCTCCCATATCATCACTTAGGATTGTCTCATACTGTTGGGAGGCGGAGAAAAAAGTTCTTAATCACTAGGCAAATATTTTAATCAGTTTGTTCCTAGATATTCCTTTTCTTTGGTTTTGTAAATCTGTTTTGAGGTGCTCCACAAAGACCAGGGCAGGATGAGGGAGGGCAGCCCTTACCTAAATAAATAATTGTGTTTCTTACAGGAGACTTAACCCCTTGTGTACCTTGCAGTGTTGCAGAGTGGAGGGGTGATATACAATGAATGGAAAATGAATTGGCTTACAAGACAGCAAGATTGTGCAAAAGCACTGTTTAATAAGTGTATATATAGGAACCTCTTCAATAATTAATGCAATTATGTTTTCAGTGATTCCAGGATATTTAAAGATATTGCCATTAAAAAAAAGCAAACCAAATATTTGGTGCCATTTTACATTACGGGTGAACTAGGCATGGTTAAAAGGAAAAGAAAAACCTTCACAGATGGAAACAGATGGAAATAATCCACCAGCCACACCACTTAGCATGTACCACCTGCACTCTTCCTTGAGTGAGAACCTGCATATAAGTTCCACTTTGTTACATGTGTTTCACATAGATAAGCTGTTGAGGAGCAAAGAAAACCATCTGTTTTGCTCTCTGCTGTACAGAATCCTTTCCCTGCCTCCAGCTTATACAGTTGTAGATCATAGAACCCTCTGTGATTAGCAGTTGGCAAAGTCTGATGATAGAGTTTCTTGAGGGAAAATAAGAAACTCCTTTATTTTCTGGATCTCCTTTCTTCCTGCAAGCCCAAGATCCTTTGTGGGTCTGAAAAAAGATATTGGTCTAATTCAGCCTTCCTCAACAGATTCCTCTAGATGTGCTAGACTACATCTTTCATCATACTCGGGTTGCATCTCTAGGGCACCAAGTTGGAGAATGATACTTTCATATATATTCCTAATGCCCTCATGAATTAGGGTAATGCAACCACTTGCCTGGGAATAAGCCTCATTGAAATCAATGGAACTTGCCTCTGAGATGCATAGGATTTCAGGTTTAGGGCATAATCCTTAGGGTTATTAGTAAGGTAATCCTTACTTAGAGGAAGGCCTCAGTGAGCATAATAGCATTTACCTTTCAGTAAATATGCATCTGCTTGTTCTGATGAGAACTTTTTCAGAGATGAAGACCCTTTAATGTCTAATATGCAGAACATGAAGGACCTAATTGTAGGCATTCATATTGGAAGACTCACAGTTGTATTTTTTGTAAGACAGCCTTCCCCAGCCTGGGTACCCTGTAAAGGTATTGCAGTGACAGATCTAAGCATCCCTTATCAAAGGCCCTGTTTGCAGGGTCTAATGGGAGATGAAGTCCCAGACATCTGGGGGATACCAGGTTGAACAAGTCTTCTATAGGAACTGTGTGTAAAAGAAGCTTTGGCCTGGTTTATGTTGATGTGTCCTTGCTGGACACATCTGTTAGTTATATCCTTTGCCCTTATCACTAATTCTCATCCTTGGTCTTTCAATTTTCCACCAGAAAGAGTGATGCAAACCTTGTAAACCTATTCTGAGCTGCAGTGTGACACTAAAGAACTCCAAAGTTTAGAAATAACTAGATGGAAAAATTTCACCTAGCGGCTGCTAAATGCCAAGGATAGGGCCATGAAGGAGGTGATGGAAGGTAAACACTCTTGCTGGTGATTCAGAGGTAGAACCATATATTGAACTCAGTTTAGGTTTGTAATATTGTAGATGAAGGTACAGGATCTTAGCCTTAATATTGTAACTGCCAGCCTTTTGGAAATGTACATTTGGGGCTTGCATATCATAGTAGGTAACAGTGTACAGGAAGAGCCATCACAGAGTGGAAGAGCACATTTTTTGTGCTTCAGGGGCCAGTTTCAAGCCCTGCTATCTTCAGAAAGAGTGGGTAAGAATTCATGCTGGAATCCTAGGGAACTGCTGCCAGTACTGAGCTAGATGGATCAAAGGTCTGACCCAGTATAAGGCAGCCCTACTTATCTCTAATTAGAAATAAATAGCATCAATTTCAGTGGGATTTTCTCCCACTGAACCCTAGGGATTAAGATCACACTCTAGGAAGACTGAGCTTCCAATCAAGAAGGCCCAGATTCCAAATATGCCTGTGACATAAACTCACTAAGTCTGCACTTTTAATACCCATTTAGCTGGGCAGAAATGGCACTGAATTCAGTTGGATGTACATCTGGATAGATCTTAAAGGATTGCACCATCAATGGCTTTAAAGAAGTTGCTCTCTCAGGCCCCATCCCCCATCTGCAATGGGAGGGGCTGAGAGATAATACTACTGAATATATTACAAGATTATTGGAGGAATTACAACTAGGTAATGCATGTAAAGCATTTTGAATACTTGAAAGTGCTGTGTGGATTCTAAGCATTATTTTTATTATTCCTAGCAAATGCCCATAGTTTGTTTCTATATATAGGATATATATATATATATATATATATATATAGAGAGAGAGAGAG